CGATTTTTTTTTTTCCTTCAAGACCTTTTGACCTTCGTTGGCGCCTTCTCGTTTCCCGGCTGCTACGACAGGTGGCCATATTTGATTTTTTTTTTTTTAAATGATTTTTATCGATTTTGTTTTTTTTTTTTTATTTCGATACAACCAAAAAAAACTTTTTTTTTTATTAACTTTATTTATTTATTTATTAACTTTATTTATCGTCAATTTTTTAAATAATAATAATAATAATGATAATAATTACACAATTATGACGAAATCAAAAAAAAAAAAAACGAGTTTTATATATATATATATATATACAAAATCCAGGGCAAATTTTTTTTATAATATACAAAAAAAATTATTATTATTATTATTTGGGATTTTGCAAAAATTCCAATCAATTAATATCGAAAACGTATTAATGATAATAATAATAATAATAATTGATAACATAAACGTTAATAAAAAAAAAAAAAAGGAAAAATTATAAAAAACGTATCAATGTAAACAAGTATGTTAAAATATTTATATTCTCTCTCTCTTTTTTTTTTTGTAAAAATCTTATTAAAAGGATGTTGTTTCTCTCTCTCTCTCTCTCTCTCTCTCTCTCTCTCTCTCTCTCTCTCTATCTTTCTTAAAGAAATAAAAACCTTCGAAGATGACAACTAACAACAACAACCACAACCACAAAAAAAAAAGTTGTTTTCGTTTAAAAAAAAATTTGCCAAATTAATTTGTGTTGTTGCATTACAAATAAATATGCATAATATATATTTATACTATATAATATATATTATATATATTTTTATAAAAAATAAAAAATAAACAAGAAAGTTTTGACATTTATTATATTTTTGATAAAAAAAAAAAAAGAAAACTTTTAAATTTAAATTTAAATCTTAAAAAATATTACGCGCGTTTTTTTACATTGCGTGATCGTTTTTTTTTTTCGTCGTTTAATTCGAGCGTAGGTGAAAAATGAATTTATATATATATATATATATATATATATATATATATATATATATATATATATATATAAATTATATAAATTATATTAAATAATTTTTTTTTCCAAGGTTTATCAATTCAATGATAAAAATATAATAATTAATTAATTAATTACTCTCTCTCTCTCTTTCTCTCCTTCTCTCTTTCTATTACTACTATTTAATAAGTAATAATAACAATAATAATAATAATAATAATAATAATAATAATAATAATAATAATAATAATAATAATAATTACGATGGGTTATAAATAATTTTTTTTTTATTTGAAAAAACAGTTAAAAAATTTTTTTTTCTCTCTCTCTATCTCTCTCTGTCTCTCTCGTTTTTTTTTTTTTTTTAATATCGAATTTAATTGAAATAGGGTTGTAATCAGGTTTGCCAACTGTGAATAATAATAATAATGATCATTTAATTTTTCGGTTTTAATAAAAAATAAAAATTTGATTAATATGAATTAAAATTGTATGTTGTAGCGAGGCGGCTACGGTATTTCTTTTTAAATATTAAAATTATTATTATTATTATTATTATTATTATTATTAAGGGTGTATCGTTTTTTTACGGGGAAAATCGTAACGTGACCGCCATATTATTCCCGGATTTTTTTTTTCGGTATGATATCATTGGGGTTATTATCATTCGAAAAGTGGAAGAAGAATAAAAAAAAAAAGACGCCTTCGAATTTTTTTTTTTATATGCAAACATTTTATAACGTTAACGGTTATTATTATAAAAATATATAAATAAAGTATATATGAACATACCTTTAAATGGTTATTTATAATTATAATATAAAATTGTGACGTCAGCACATTAAAAAAAAAAAAAAATGTATGTTTGTTAAACGTTTCGCTACTTGTGATTATGCTTCAAGTTATGTATATTATTGATTGAAAAAAAAAAAATAATAACTGTCCGCCTGCCTCATCGGCGGCGTCGTCGTCGTCGTCTTCGACGGCGGTGGCGGTGGCGACGATGACGGTGGCAGTGGCGACAAGAGTCAGTTATTTTGCAATGGAATTTTTTATTTCGTTTTTGCCCTCAATTGTTTCATTATGCGGTTATTGCATTTTTTTTTTGCCCACGCTTTTCCCCCCACCCATCCGCCCGCCCACTCACCCACCCGGTTACTTACTTATATTCTCTGAATGATAAAAAATTTTTTCCGCCGAAGAATCTTCTGCTTATATTTTTTCCACGCGGTTTTTTTTTCCTTATTTCATTCGATTGAACCACGTGGTTTTATTATTATTTATTTATTTATTTAATTTTTTTTTTTTTACTCTATGGAATCGAAAATGGGGCACGTGCGATTGTTGTTGTAGGTAGCGCACTGTATACAGGTTAAAATTACTCATTTATATTATTATTATTATTATCATCGGTATATTAAACCTACGAACGAAAAATTGAATCATGATAATGGTAATGATAATAATAATAAATTTAAATTTATATTTATATTATTATTATTATAAATGTCGGGAAAAACGTTTATCTCGATACTTGGCGCCGTAATAATAATAATAATGATAATGAAAAATTCATACCCGGACCTTTTAATTTAATTTAATTTAATTTAATTTTTTTTTTTTTTTTTTTGGAGAAAAATTCTGGAATTTGCTTCCTACTATCCAAAAAAAAAAATAAGAAAACATGTCCTCGGGTGATAATTAAACACGTTTAAGTGTTATTTAATGATAAAAAGGTCAAAAAAAAAATATCAGGCGCGTATAAAAATAAAAAATTCGCTTGTTTTCATGCAATTAATATCAGGCGTCAAAAAAAAAAAAATATCAGGCGCAAATAAAAATAAAAAATTTGTTTGTTTTCATGCAATTAATAAAAGCACTCGCGCGGAGGTTTAACCCTTAACCCACCTCTGCCCCTCTCTCTCCCTCTCCTTCCCATCGTTTCACAATGGAAGAGAAGTCAAAATCATTATTAATATTATGATGATGAAAAAGAAATTTTTACGAATGATGAGAGAGAGAGAGGTAGACCCACATTGTCCAGGGTTGGCAACATTTTATAATAAATTATTATTATTATCATTATTTAATTTCGTTTAATGATGATGATGATAATAATAATAATTTTTTTGTGTTGACCCGGTAATTAAACGTACGTTCGTCCGTCACCTTTAAATAAAAAAAAATTTTCGGTTTTTTTTTTTTTTTTTAATCTTTCGATTAGGTGAAAAATTTTTTTCAAGGACGTTTTGGTTCCTTATCAAGGTCGCCGCCATTATTGATAAGTCCATCGCCATTTTAATAGTAATTTTTTTTCAAGTCGTCGTCGTCGTCGGACCAAATTTAAATGTAAAAAAAAAAAAAAACAAAAAAAAAGTTTAATGGATGGAGGTGTTAAAATATCGTTTCCGTGGTTTTAGTTTTAGTTTTTAGTTTTAGTTTTTTTTTTCTCCATCCAAAGTCGTACCTTTAGTTTTCGGATTCCACCTGTTGCCACGTCCACTTGTTTCATTTTTCACTTTACATCCGGAGATTTTTTTTAAATTAGTCTTCTTTTGTGGCTCACCAGTTGTTTCTTTTATACCTTTTTTTTTTTTTAAGGTTTTTCATTCATAATTTAAATTAAAACTCCGTATCGGGGGGAGAGGGGAGGAGAGGAGAGGAGACCAAAATATTGGATCTTCGGGGGTACGTTAAGGTATAATAATAAAAAAGGGTAAATATGGGTCGATAATAAGGTTTGCCATTCCACGTGTGTGTGTAAAAAAAAAAAAAAAAACATCTGGAACGAAAGCAAATTTTTTATTTTTTTTTGAACTGGATTACTGGAATCAAAACTGGAAAGAAGATTGACTTCCGGTTCTTTTTCCTCCCGAAAATTCTTCCATCGTAGGAACTTGACGAATGATGTAGGAAATGAGGAAAAGTCATAAAGATATAAAAGAGGGTCGGTCATCATCCTTGCCTGCCACTCCCACAACATTTGACATAAATTGGTCGACAAGGTTTTGCAGGCAGCCTTCGTACCTGCATTCGGTTCTGCAATTATGACGTCATCTCATGCAATCGACTAACATCTTGTGGTTAAAATCCATATATAGGTTCTCAGTATATACATATATACTAGATAAAAAAAAAAAAAAAAAGCAGAAAAAGATTTTTAACAATAAAGAAAAAAAGAATTTTTTTCTCTTTCTTTCAATGCCAAATTAATAAAGTTTATCTGGTTTCACGTCTTTTAAATTTTAATTTTTCTTTATCCGAAACGTGAACTGACAAACTGTAAACGTGAAATAAAAACGATGACGTCATCATCAATTTCTGGAGAGAGAAAGAGAGAGAGAGAGAGAAAAAACAAGAAAAAATTTTCAACAGGTGACTGGAATGATGATACATTTTTTTTTTTTTTTACTTTCGCAAAGAAACGCGCGAAAGAAATTAAAAATATTTATGTAACGTAATATTAAAAAAAAAAAAAAAAAAAAAACGTGGAACTAGAATTTATAATATAATAAAATTTAGCGTTAACTCGTTTCGATCTTTGATATTTTCATATGATAAAGTTCAAAAAAAAAAAAAACAAAAAAAATGAATGACGACAACGTCGACGACGTCGAAGGTGATAATAATAATAATAACGGGAAAACTTCGCACCGGTTATTATTATTATTATTATTTAATGCATCTCAATTATACTATTATTATTATTATTATTATTATTATTATTAATACGTAAAATAAAATCAACATGTCAGAAAGAATTGAAAATTAAAAAAAAAAAAAAAAAGGGAAAAAAAAGTGCAATTAAGAGATTTGTTTAATTAGCCTTGGAGGCACATTGTATAACTGCTGCTACTGCCACTTCCACTACTGCCACTGCTTCCACTACTACTTCCACTTTAAACTTGATGATATAAAAATACGAGAAAACGGTTCAAACCAGATATTAATTTACTTCGTACTTATAAATTAAATTAATTAATCTTTTTGTTGTTGTTGTGGTTGTGGTTGTTGAAAATTATTTTAAATGAAATGTTTAAGGTTTTTTTTTTTGTTTTATTTCCGCCATTTTAATTATTACGTCATGATTTGACGTAATAAAAAGTAATAAAAATTTTTTTTTTTATTTAAATAATTGTCATACGAAATGAAAAATTATTATTTTTCTAATTGAGTTTGCGATTTTTTTTTTTCATTCGAGTTCGTTAGGATGTAAAAAGGAAACGGAAATGCTTTGGGGGAAAGGAGACGTGGAATTAGACAGATCGGAAATGTTATCAAACATACGTACGCAAATACTCTTATTAATCGTTTTCTTGTTATCGAATCTTTCAACTTTTTTTTTTTTTAATTGGGTCGTTAAAGGGACAAAGTGGAAGCAGAAATGTCATCTCGTTGATGACACGCACACACAAAATCAACAACCAAATGTTTACGTAAAAAATAAGGGGAAAAATAAAAACAAAACATTTGGAAATTTGACGATTATTACGTTTCGATTATTTTTCGACTTTGCAAAATTTGATTCGATCGATATATCGATCGTGAAAACAGAAAAAAAAGGAAAAATTCGAGAGAATTTAGTGCCACGATTTTTTTTTCCAGTCTCATTAATATATATAACGAAACGAAAAGAAAGGAAAGGAAAAAAAAAAAGATGAAAACAATCAAAATGAATTTTAGTTGTGACGCGTCGGAGCCACCCACCTGCCCGTTTGTTAGGTTCCTTGTTTGTTTGCCTGTTTGTTTGCCTGCCTGCCTACCTACCTACCTACCTTCGTACATGTTCGATATCTTTCTTTCTTTCTTTCTTTCTTTCTTTCTCTTCTGCTTGCCAGATGGGCACCGACCTTTGAACAGGTCTTTTCCGTGCTCTCTCTTTATACCTGATCTTAATTCTTTTAAATTATTCACGGCGACCGATCTTTTATGTGTGCCTGTGTGTGCCTGTGCGTGTGTGCGTGCGCGTGAATGGGAGGACGTTATCTTCTGAACATTCGAAGGTGTCGGTAATAAAAAAAAAAAATTTTTTTTAGGCGTTGCAAAAAAAAAAAAACAAATTTCTGGACATAATTTTTTTTTTCTTTTAAAAAAATTAGGTCATTCTTTTTATTTTATTTATATATTTTATTATTTATAATATTTATTACCTTGACTTTATTACCTAATAAAATTTACTGTTTAGCTTTTTGTATTTAAAAAAAATAAGAGGTAATATTTCGATAATTATTATTAATAATAATAATAATATTAAAATTTTTACCTTGTTAATTTTTTTTTTTTTTTTTAATCTCGTAATTATTAATTATTTTAATTGTTAATCTTTTTTAAAAAAAAATGACTTACCTTCACTTACGGTTGTTGTGATAAAGTAATAAATTTGGCACAAAAAAATGGAAGGAATTATTATTATTATTATTACGTAATTTATTACTCGAATAATCCGAAAATAAAATTTACAAAATTTATTACTTGTATATAATTTTATTACTTTTACTGTTTTTCTTTTATTTTTATTTTTTTTCTTTTACGGCTTAAAATGTGGAAAAATATTTTTTTTCGGGTGGAGAGAAAGAAAGAGAGAGAGAGAGAGAGTCAAACGAGGAAAGAGAGATGATTAGTGTGCTAAACAGGAGAGAGAAAGATTTAAACAGGAATAAGAAGATGATCAGAGTACTGAACAGAGAGAGAGAGAGACCCAATCAGAGAAAGGAAAGAAAACAGAGTGCCCAACAGAGAGAGAGAGAGAGAGAGAGAGAGAGAGAGAGAGATGGAAAAAGGACAAAATAGACGAATATGAACATTTATACATCCCTTAGAACTTTCTCGAAGAATTCAACTTTTTTCCCAATATGTCAGGGATTATTTAAAACCGCTATTAATTTTTAATTGCGTGTATTGAAATTTTTACGACACATCTCATATCTAAAACCCCGACATTTTTCCATATGAATCATTCCAAGAAAATACATATTCATATATATTTAAACTTAAATAAAAAAAAAAAACGCGTGCGTGCGTGCGTGCGTGTGTGCGTTCGTCTTTATAAACATTTTTTCTTTTAAAATTTTACGCACGTTTTTTCTTTTTAGCAGGTCGTAAAAAAAAAAAAGAGTAAAATGATCGGTTTAAACTTAAACGCCATTAGCACGTTACTTTAAATAAAAATTTTTTTTTTTTTTTTTTAAATTTTGCAACTTCTTATAACGTAATAACAATAATAATAATAATAATAATAATAGTTTTTGATTAATTTACGACATTTAATTGATGATGTGAAATTAAAATGGCAGTGGCACATTAACTTGAAAAAAAAAAAAAAAGCTACCGTGAACTCGAAAGGTTGTTGGTTGTTTGTCGTCATAAAAACAAATCGACGATTGTGTTGCATGGCAACAATTTAACAAACACAAACAGACAATCGCGTGGACCATTCACCTGCTTCGATATCCCACGTGACGTTTTTCCTATTGTCATTTTTCTAATTTCATTTCCGCATATTTCCACATCCGTTTGTTTTTAAAATGAAAACTGTGAGAATTTTAATTTTAATTTTTTTCCGAAACACCTGAACGAAATTAAAGATGCTGTCGTGTATCCGGTATTTCGATAAAACTCTCTCGTGTTTCCTTAAAACATTCGAGAGGAGGAGGAACAAACAACAAACTTTTTTTTTTTTTTTTTTTATTATTCGAGCTCAAATAACAGAAAATCATTGAAACGTATAATAATATAGAAAATTTTCTCTTCGGTAATTACAAAAAGGGAAGAAAAAAAATCACGTCAGAATCAAATTCGTCATTAGAGATCAATCACAACCTTAAATCCGAACCTTTTTGTATTCAAAACATTTCATGCGCTAAATGAAAACAATAATAAAAGGAAAAAGAAGAAAGAAGAAGAAAAAAAGGTTGCGCGATTCAAAATAATAATAATAATTCTGCTTTCGTCTTGTATAAGTTCTAGAAAATTCGATGGAATTATGTACGATAGATTTTCATATTTCGCGAATTTTTTTTTCTATGACGTCACAACTCATTCGTCGTACTTTTTAATACTTTTTTGTATGTTTAATATTTACCTTATGGGAAAATTCAACTCCAAATCATTTTTCCGATTCTTTTTTTTCGCGAAATGGAAAAATTCAAAGGAAATGATAGATAATAATAATAATTTAACAATTATATATATATAAAAACAAAATTTTATTATTACAAAATACTTAAAAAAAATCTTCTTATCGTGACAATAATAATAATAATATATATTTATATTTATATATTTATATAATAATAAATCTAAGGCACTGTACAATTCAATCTTTTTAGTTACTTTATTATTATTATTATAAAATATTTTTAAAAAAATACGCATCGTATATATATGTATATATACGTGTACGCGCGTACACGCGCACGCACACACGCACGCACACACGCACGCGCGTATTTTATTTTCTGCCATAGAGAAAAAAAAAATTATTTAATTAATTAATTAATTGACTAGCTTTCGTATCGTTTGTAATTTAAAAAAAAAAAAAAACACGAGATACATATAAATTTTACACTTTTATATATGATAATAATAATAATAATTTATGTGGCAAAACAAACAAACAAACGATTCAGTACTAATGATAATGATAATAACTAAAACGGGGTTGGAAAAAAAAAAAAAAACTTTTTTCTTATTTTTTAAAAAACAGGTACAAAATTTTATTTATTTATTAATGTTTGTTTTTTTTATTTTTAAATTTATTTATTAATTAATATTTATAATAATAATAATAATGATAAATCAGTCTTGATTTGGCACTTGAATGAATAAAACAAGGCGCGCATATAAATAGTTTTTATAAAATTTTTTTTAATAATAATAATAATAGTAATAATAATTATAAAAGTTACTATTTATGATAAATTATGCTTAGTATTACTATTATTATTATTATTATTATTTATGTACATATAAATTTTCTTTATTTACATAAGACAAGACTAGTAATATTATAAATCGGGGAGTTTTTTTTTGTGCGTTTTCTGGTTGTCGTTACAAACGAACAAACAAACAAACAAACAAAAATTTCGACAGTCATACGATTGAAATTAAATAATTTTTAATACGGATCACTGTCGTAAATAACCACGGTTGTTGTTGTTGTCTGTTTGTACTAAGTTGAACAAACGCAAAAATAACGGAGGAGGTGGAGGGGGAGTAGGATGTGAAGGAGGGAGGGTTTATGCGGTAATTAAATAAAGTAATAAAAAAAAAAAAAATCAATGACAATAATTATTTGACATAAGGTTGACGATGATGAGTCGTTAAAAAAGCAAAAAAAAAATTTTTAATTTAAATTTATTGTTAAAATCGTATTTTAATTACCAACGAACAAATGAACGAACGAACGAATTAACGAATGAATGAATGATTGAATGCAATCGCAATTTTTTTTTCAATTAAAAAATTTTTAAAAGTTTTCGCGGAGGCCGAAATTTATTAATTTTTTTTATTTTTAACTCCTCATGCAAAAAACCTTATGTAAATAAAATCGTGTTATTATTATTATTATCATTATTATTATTATTATTATTTAATTTATGCTTTGTAACTATATAATAGTGTCATTCTTAACTGTGTCTATCTATTACGGGTAACTAAACTGAAAAAATGGCGGCGAAGGCGGTGGTGATGGTGGTTTTCACGTTTATTTATATGTACGGTTCACCGGCTCATTATTAAATAGTAGAAATTACAAAAAAAAAAAAAAAAAAATTAAAGCCCAATGAACCCTATCGAGAATCGATTAATCGATTGATCGATCGATCGATCGACATAACACAATAATTCGTAAGGAACTAAACTATATATATATTTTTGTTTTTTATAAAAAAATAATCGTTTCGAATAAATATTCGTGTACTAAATTCTTAAAAACTAAATTAGTAGTACTAGTAGTAGTGAGAGTAGTAGTACGAAAATGTAATCCTTACTTTTATCGAGGTCACCGGTGTAATTTTTCGTGCATATGATGGTCTGGAATTCCGTGCTGTTGCTGATGATGATGATGATGATGTTGTTGGTAAAGTATTTCCGGTTGTGGAGCCATTCCGGGACATCCTCCGTCCGCGTGTTTCGTCAAAAGCGACATTCTCGAAAATGTTTTGCTGCACGTCGTGCAAGAATATTTCTTAACGTCCGAATGAGTTTGAAGGTGAGCTCTCAAATTCGATCTGTCCGCGAAAGCTCGTCCGCAGTGTTGACACGAAAACGGTTTTTCACCGGTGTGAGTTCTCACGTGTCCCTGCAATAGCCAAGGACGAGAAAATGCTTTACCACAAACTGTGCACTTGCACGGTAACGTATGCGTTCTTATGTGCATTTTAAGAGCGCCTAATGACACGTAAACTTTTTCACAAAATTTACAACTAAATGATTTTTTCGCCTGAGATGATTCGTTTGCGGCACAGTGAAATTGTTGATGTTTGGATAGACCGGAATACGTCGAATAGGATTTGTTACAGTCCGGACACTGATATCGTGGCGCGCTGTCTTTTCTCCTTTTCGTGCTACCCATTCCGGTGCTTCCAACGCTCCCGGTACTTGCGACGCTTCCGGGAGATGATAAATCCTCGGGCGTCGCGGGTGGAGGAGATCTAGACGATGTCGACGACGTGGGTGATAGACCGCAATGATCCGAATTCGCATACGGTATGTATAATTTATCGGAGGGTCTCGCCAAAGAGGGTACCGGTCTCACCGGAGAAGGATACAAAGGTGGAGAACAACTTTCTCTCTGCGGAAATGGTGATAATTGATCTTGATGAGGTATTCTCGTCGGTTGAATGGGATACATGGAGGGATGATACTGGTGGTAAAGATCGTGTGGTGGGTAATGGTAGGGAAAAGGAATATAATGCGGAGGATAGTGTGGCGTGGGTCGGTAAGCCACAGGATGAGACGGTTCTACCGGAGTATTTAAATTAAGGGGTTCCAAAACTCCTCCGCTCGGTTTCGTCGTGTCACGTTGAGGTACGACAAAAGCAGTGGCATGAGATCTTTCCCTCGTCGCTTCCGACGCTTCCAATCTATCCGTCAAACTTAATGATAATTTTTTCGTCATCGGAATCAATCCGGGCGGCGGCGAACTGGACTTGATGTTGGTCACACTCAAATCCTGGGGTTTCGTGCTTAAATTTTCCGGTTCGGACGTGTCGACCGTTTCTAAAAAAAACAAACAAAAACAACACATCCGTTAGTTTATAACGTATTAAAATTTTTAGAGAAATAATCGACGGAAAAACGAAAGGGATCCAATTCGATAAAAAAATCCCTCGAGGAGGGGGATTTTTTTAATTCGAAAAAGATAAGCTCATTCCTTCTTCCGACGAGTTCAAAAACCTTTAATAATTTTTTTAACGTTATGTGACCTCGGGGGACAGGTTAAAAGGCCCCCCGAAGAAGACACCCGCATATCGAGTGTAGAGTAAAAGTCATAGAAAATATTTTTTCGTTTTTTTTTTTTTTTGATAACGCAATCAATGTCAATGTCACGCACGGACACAGGTACAGGCACAGGCACACACACACACACACACCGCCTTTCATTAAAACTATAAAAGTTTTACCGTTGCAAACTAATGACTAAATTTATTATTAAACGATCTGATACTCGCGATGAGTATAAAAATTCACCGCCTTCTTTTACAAAATTTTTTTTCCTCGGGTAAAACATCGGTCGTCACGTACCTCCCCTTCCCCCCATTTTGTTTTTTCTTTTTATTAAATTCTTCCCCCTTTCCCTCCTCCCAAAAGATATTTAAAAATTTAAATTTAAATTCGTTGACGTGATAATTGCAGGTTTGCAGGTTTTTTTTGTTATCCGGCGATATCTTGATGATAATAATAATAATAATGATGATGATAATGATAAATTAATTTTTTTTTCTTTTGCCCCCTCACTTCTGAACTTTTTTTCTTGGTGGTGGTCTTCTCTTTTTATCAACTCTGAACATTTTTTTAAATTTTTAATTTTTATTAATAAAGATTCGCGAATTATTTAACGAATTATTATTATTTCAATTTATAAACAAAAAAAAAAATGGCGGAACGCGAACGTTTATTTACTCTATGGAATAAAAAAAAGAGAAAATAAATTCTTATCCTTCGGTCATGTTTTCAAACCGATAAATAATTTTTTTTTGGAAAGAAGAAAATTTGACTTATTGACACGACAATAATTTTTTTTATTTGACCCCGTGGAAAAAAAATTTAATAAATTTTTATTAATAATTTTATTAAAATAATAATAATAATAATAATAATAATAATTATGTACGAGCGATAATTTCTATTTATTTTATTAAGGATAAAAAAAAAACGACTGGAGAGTTGAAAATATTATTATTATTAATTAATGAGATGGTTTTATTATTATAATTATTTTTTCTCTTATATTCCCCGTACAAACTCGAGACAAACAACAAACGACGCTAATAAATTAATAATAATTATTAATAAAATTTTTTTATAAGTAAATAAATATTTACGACGAATCGCACGCACGGAATTTTTATTATTATCATTATTAACGCAAAAAAAAAAAAAAAAAAACGCGCGTATAATTTTTTTTTTCTTGTATCGATTTTGTATCTGTTTACACGGAAAACCTGACGTGTTTCCGGTTTTATTATTTCTATCGCCACGATAAGTTTAATCAAAAAAACGGCCGATAACCTTACGCACTCGTACGTTCGCACTCTTATGAAAATTTATTATTAATAATAACAATAATAATAAATCAGAGTGTATACATAAAATTCACGTAAATTTAAAGATAATAACAATAATAATAATAATAATAAATAATAATAATTATTAATAATAATAATAATAAATATGTTAATCGATTAAGTTTGATTTTTCTACTTTTTTATTACTCTCAATTTATTTTATTTATTTTTTTAAACAAATTATTTATATCGATAGAAAAACGTATTTATTTATTAACTTTAAAATAATAATATTAATAATAATAATAATAATGACAAAACGTATGGAAAATTTGTTGGGTTTTTTTTAAATTCGCGAATTTTTTTTTTTTTTTTTAACGTTCGACTTTGAAATTTTTTTTTCGCTAATACTCGTAAAATTATTTCGATCCCCCTTTTCTTTCTTCCCCCCGTGATACTAATAATAATATTAATAACGAGAATTAATAATAATAATAACGATAATAATAATAATTTAATTATTTAATTGTACGTTTTATCACATCATATCGATAGTGGCGACGGTGAATTTTTTTTTATAAATTTCGTTTTTTTTTTTTTTTGTTTTAAATAAAAAAATATTTTTTATGGGTACAACAACAACAACAAAAATCGCAACAACCACAACAACAACAGCATTTGTTGATAAATTAATTATTAAAAATAAAAAAAAAATTTTTTTAATTACAACAACCGATTTACTAACATTATTATTATTATTAATTTTTTCTTTTTATTAAATCGCCGGCGAAATGAAAAAAAAAAAAAAATTTATCGAGTCGTAAAAAAATTATTATTATTATTTTTAATTTCTACAACAACAACAACCGACGGATTAAGAGAGAAAAAAAATAAATGTTTTTTTACCTTTGGATTCGGTCGAAACATCTTCTTTAAATAAAAACGGTCTTTTTTTCAATGGACAATGACTGTATTTTTTCAACAACATAGATTTGGGTAAAATCCCACGTTCCAATATGTCAGCAGCAGACATTTTTTTTTTTTTTACATTAAAATAATAATAATAATAATCGACACTTAAAACAAATTTTTAAAAATTTACTTCACAAGTTTTTTTCTTATCAACATTTTTTTTCTATTTTTTTTTCACTGGTTAAAAAAAATCCAAAAAATCCAAAATTTTGTTCAAACGAAACGTTTCCCACACAAATAATAATAATAATAATAATATGTTGAAAAAGTTTTCACAAAATCCATAAAAACTTTTACGAAAAAAAAAATTCACTTCACGACGACAAACACAAACACAAAAAAATAAAAAAAAAAATGAAAAAAATAAAATAAAAAATTGTTTACGACGATTTTTTCCTGGCCTACTCCATCGGAGGTCAAAGGATAACTGATCTCACTAGACCGGAGATCTGGTGCACTAAATTCTAAGCGTGCAATATCGGGTTGCAGCTGCGCGACTCTCTCGTCTTCGAAAGTGAAGAAAATGAAAGGATGAATAAGAGAGAGAGAGAGAGAGAGGGAGGGAGAGGTAGGAACCAACGTGCGAGAGTAAAAGAATTACGAAAAAAAAAAAAGAGAGAGAGAGAGAGAGGGAAGGACGAGGAGAGAGAAAAAAAGAGGAAAAAAAAAAAAAACGCGAATTTATACACAACAACTAAATCGTTCGGCACCTATGCCTCGTCTGAGATTCTGGTGGTAGCCGATTCTTTAAGTGGAAAAAAAAAAAAAACCTAATGCTCCAGAAGACCAGGTGCTCGAAGCACGTGCTAACCAGCCAATCAAATTTCATTGGAAAGGGGAATAATCGACCAATTGGAATCGAGAATTTTGTTGTTTTTCAAATACGATCGAGGAGAGATATATAAAAACGGTTGATTGTATAATCACAACGAATCGACAAATTTTACGTTCCAGCACGATCGACGTCTTTCGTTTACCTTTCCCCCCCTAGCCCCTACTTTTAATTTAAAAAAAAAAAATTTACTGGAGAAAATTTTTTTTAAATAAAATTAAATTTTCTGCTGGAAAAAATTTGTTTTTGTTTTTTTTTTTTTTTTCACGTTTTCTTTCGAGGTGAAAGGAAAAACGGGAAAAATTTGACCCATATTTTTGTTTTTCCAGGTAAAAAAGTTCATTTGACGTGAATATAACAATTTAAAAAAAAAAAAATTACGGTACTTTTAAATTGTGATGGAGAGGGGAGAGGAGGGGAGTGGGGGGAATTCATTGGACAGGTGTTTTATGGTGTTCAATGGTCAACATTTATATGTTTTGTCTACAGCTTTACTTTTCCTTTTTTTTTTTTTTTTTTTTCCTTTTTTCCTTTTTTGATCTTTATTGTTTGTTAACCATTGATTGAATTCAAATAAATCCCGTGTGTGTTTGTATGTGTATGTATAAGGTTTCGTTTGTTGTTTGTTATTGTCGTAGTCGTTGTCGTCCATCCATCACGTTTTATTTTCTTTTTTCTCTTTTCTTCTTCTTCAAGTTTCCATTTTTTTTTTTTATTAAATATTTTTACTTTGTTCTTACGGTTGTTTCATGGAGAAAAAGGAAAAATTTCAAGTGGATTTGTAATAATTTTTTTTTTTTTAACCAAAAAAAGGGTTTTAACCTGTTTTAATCAAAAAAAAAGGTTTTGAAAGGAATAATACTACGAAACCTTTTCTCTTAAGAAAAAAAAAAAGGTTTTTTATTTAATCCGGTTACGAGACCAGTTTTTATCAATGGTGTATATGTCTCTTTCTCTCTCTCTTTCTTCATTATTCTATTATGTAAACCTTTTTATGTTTGGTCATATTGTAATAATAATAATAATAACATACGTCGAAATCAAAACCGGTTGCACGGAATAAATTTTTTGAATATGAAAAAAAAAAAACAAGTGGTTGTTAGGAGGAGAAAAAAAAGGAGCCATCGAGGAGAAAAGGGGGAAGAGGGGGGAGATTTTCTGACACGAAAAAGTTGAAATGAGACAATTTCTTAATTTGTTAATGATAATAATAATGGTTTCGTGGTTTCGGTTGTTTTTTTAAAAAAAAGTTACCAAATCTAACTAACTAACTACCTTGAGGCCTGTGTTCTTGTTATGCAAATTTTTATTAAAAAAAAGCAGCAGACGAAGCAGAAAAAAAATAAAATCCGGTTTGTTGGTCATTGCGACGGGTTTGAAAGATGAGTTAGCACCTCAAACAAACAAAACCAGGAGTGAATAACAACAACAACAACAACAAGAAAATCAAGTCTTTCAGCTACCACACAATATTCAGACCAGAATGGTATAAAAAAAAAAAAATAAAGAACCGGATGATGATGATGATGATAAAAAGAAAGAAACCGTATTGCACAAAATAAGTTTAGCTTAAGTTTCAAACCACTTAAAAAGAGAGAGAGAGAGAGAGGAGGAATCTCCTGGTAGAGGGATGTATATATAAATATCTCTGGAAGAGAGAGAGAGAGAGAGAGAGAACAAGAGGGTTGAGATGAAGAAGAGGGTTGTGCCACCGGCACGTGGCAGCTGCTTGCTAGGCTTTCTTTACCTTTCGGCAGAAAATTCACCGGTGATTACAACAATCTGCCTACTGAAATCTGGAAGAAAAAAAAAAAAAAGAGGGAGGGAGGAGAATCATAATGATGATGATGATTATTATTGTTGTTGTGTGCTTTATGAAAAAAATTGACGATCGTTGTTGATTCAATTTCCGACACCGTTTAAAATTAATGATAATTT